AGGCATCTTTTATGACTATTGAGGCAACTTTCTTGCTTTCTAAATCTACTTTCTTTACTTTCAACGCATCTGTCACAACCTTAAAAGTAACACTCCCAACTTTGTAGAAAGCTTTTGTGACAACTATCTCAACTTGCGAAGTGATACACTCAGCATACTTTTCTAGAAACTTTCTTGAATACCTTTATTGACTTCTTCATCTTCTTCTGCACATGTTTTTTGTTTCTCATTTAGGCAACTCTTTTGCATTCTCTCCAATAACTGCCAACGACTGTTCATTTATTATAGCTTTTTTCAATTTTTCTCAATTTTAAAGTGACTTTTCAAACTTTATTGACATAAGTTCTCACGACTTTTCCAGCTATTTTTTCTGGCTGCTAGACTCTTTCAACTTTGTAAATGTCCTTTTTTCAAGTGCAAAGCAATATTTGCGCCTCTCTTAACATTGCAGCATCTTCATTGACTTTCTCTCAAGCTACTTTTTAAACTTTACCCAAGATGTTCATTACCTTAGTGGCAACTTTTCCACCTCAAAGCGTAAATTAATTTTATGAATTCATGGGAAACTTTTCTGCATCCAACGAGATTTTTTAAAATTTTCTGCTTTCCAAAGAGGCTATCCATTGTAGACAGTTTTCTTGATTTTTCATGACTTACCCACTCTAAAAGAACATATCCGTGTGATTACATATCACCAACATTCTCCACTCAACATCTTGTAGTCCCATTTCCATTTTAACTAACACTCCTCACTCGACTGAGATATCCAATGTGATTACAGGCCCCTTCTCATCAAAACCCTCACTCTACTAGGATAACCCCATCTTTTCTTCAATTCTCAGCGTTCTGGTGAAAACCCATCTCTAACCTTCTCATATGAATAAATGACATAAAAGTCTCCCCAATATTCTAGATGCACATGTAAAATCGGTCCAAAGTACATTGTCAGTAATAACTAAACAAAATACACTTAAAAGACTCAAGACACACCAAAATACAGATATATATGTGATAAAGTTTCAAAACAAATCATATAATATATAATCTTATCATATACAAGCTTCTTGAGTTATAGACCCAAGAATTGTCAACAAAGACGAAGAAAGAGCTCCTACACTGGTGACCATATTTCAACCATACATACAATGTGGTAGACTGATGATCATCATTCAATTAAAAACACAAACATGCATACATACAGACTACAGAGTAACTAAAATGAAATTTGACACCACAGCTTATGTATCAGAGCTTATATAGCAGTGTTCAATACAGAGTTATAAATATTGCAACTATTTGGTTGTATTTCACAAATTACGCACGTCAGATTGGACTATGAGGTTATACCGATGTATACAATCTCTATACTTGAAATTAAAATTTATAACTTGAACAAATCTTATCAGAATTCTGTGTTTCGCTTTGATAGAAGAATAGTCTGTTCGGTCATATATCCGGGAAATATAACCAAGAAATATTATTATTAATCTGTAATCTCAACTGCTTTAACAATGGTGTCAGTAAATCTTGAGTGCCAAAGTGATTCTTCCATTGAGCTGTATGTGTCTTTTGACCGTTTGTACAGGACATTAAAGTGCATGTAATAATTGTGTTGAGCATACCGCATTACCTACACTCCAAATAGTGATAAAAATAGTGTAAAATCTGTATAAGGAATAACTAAAAGTAGTTTCAAAACATGACAACTAGTTTTCTATGCAGTAGTACATATACACAGCTTACAAGGTTCATCAAATTGGGTTCATTGTATTACACGATACTGTATACATCTTATTCCATCTTGGGTTTATGTATTGCATAATAGTGCGTATATCTCACATATATCATGTGCAAGCACTTCTGCATATTCACGGAGAATGTTGAAATGGAGATATATGACATCTTGTTTGACTTCAAACATCATAGAATTATAAGCAGTACTGTGCAAACTGCTGCAATTGTCATGATAACAGAAAACAAGTGAAAAAGACCTGATGGAGAAAACAAACAATACTGTGTAAGTAAAGAGAATGACCCAAAGCCCATAACAAAATATGATAGTAAATCACTATGGGGTGAGAATACCGCCAAAATTAGCTTGGTGTCATTATTTGAACATTGTTTAGTTGTTTGGTCTTTATTTGGAAACTTGTTTGGTTATTATCTGGTCATTATTCGGTTATTTGGTCTTTATTTAAACATTATTTTGTGCTTATTCCATTAGTGTGTTATTACTGCAGCATCGTATTGCCATTGTTTCATTATTCCAACTATATTTCTTAATTATTTCATTATTGTGTAATTGTTACAATATTATTTTGTCATTGTTTCATTCTATTACAATTGTGTCGTTATTTTGACATTACTTTGACATTCAATTGTTATAAGATTCGGTTATTTTCACGTCCAAATGTCTTGACATTCGGTTCGCTTGACTTGTGATTACCTCAACATTCGGTTCGCTTAACTTGCGATTACCTCAACATTCGATTACCTGACCTACATTAGCTGACCCCGCTATACATTCAATCCATAGTCCCGGGCCGCCTTCGATAAAGCGTTGCTCATGATGGCAATGTAGCCTTTGTAAAAGTTAGCGGGAATTTCTGAGGGAACTGACTGAGGTCGTCA